AAGAGTGTTTCATGGTATTTTTCCTCAAAAAGACCAATATGATCCAATGGACAGAGTTCTAAAGATATTTATTATTATTATTTATTTATTATTTTCAATTTGTATCCCGCCTTGGATGCAAAAACTAATCTTTGCTTATGCATTGAGCCACGTCACTGAGTTCTCAAGCTGTAAAATAGCATTTTTGATTTAACTTACAGGGCTTTTGTGAGAGTTCATGGGTAAATTTCAGTTGTTTGACAGTTAATCTCATTTGGACATAAGGCTCTTTTAAGTCTTTTGTGACTTAAGCTTTTGTGGACTATTCTGTGAAAGTTTGTGCTGCAATAAAATGGTTAGTATTTAGGTTTTTGCTATGCAAGGCTGACACAATTAATCCATCTTCAATAATATTAATAAGAATCTTATTGATTGCTTCTCTTTTCTTGCGTTTCCTAAATTTGTCATTTACAAACAAGATATCCTGAAATACTTAGATCTTAACTAGCAGGCTGATAGTGTTTCTGCACTACTTTTGAACATTCATGTCTCATCCTATTTTTAAGTTTTCTGTGATGCTAAACTTTCACGTCCTTAAACTGAGACACAAAGTCGTATATAAATCGTTATGTCTTGACAAGTCAAGTTTGATGAAGATAAGATTCTTGAAGATGTCCTTTGTATGTGAAATAAAGACAGCTTAATGGATTTTTCACCAACTTGAAGATTCTGTATTTGCTGACGGTGCTGAAGCGAGAAGAGACCATAAGTAATGCTTCCTCATTGATAGTGCCAATGAAGCTGGGTTTCGGTACATCGAGCTTCAGGTTATTATTAGAAACTTATAATGCTTAGGTTTATTTATGGTTTCTTGGATGTACATTTAATGGACTTAAGTAATAGCATATAAAACAGTGAATACACTTCACTGCACCAACCACTTCCTTACTTTTTTTTGGGGGGGGGGTAGAGTTCTCAGTGTCACTTTCTAAATGAAACAGCAGTGGTTAGGGAAAATGGGATACTCTTTGTGTTGTGGAAGGTAAGACATAATTGGTTGTTCATAAACATAACAATCATATTTTGATTTTTGGCATTCGGCTTAAGAGCCCATTCTTGTCCTGCTACCAATTTATGTATGTCGTTTCTTAATGAGAAGTGATGTTCTCGGTTGTAATAAGGGGTTTTTAATCATGCGTAGCCCTGCTTCTATTGTGCTGCACAACTTTGGTTGAACCTTGTTCTAGTTGCTGCCTTTATCCAGATATGTGGTATAAATTATCTATGTATATAGGGGGGAGGGTTCATTTGCGAAATCCCTGTGATTAACGTGAAAGGTGTCAGCAAATCTTTCAGATGGGCTTAGAGATGAAAATACAAATCTATCTTAGCTCAGACCATTGGTTCATACACATACACAGTATTGTCCACTTCATTCGGCAGGCAGAGAAAGGTCTTTACCAACAGCTAAATTCTGAACTGCTTTGACTGTAGATGCCAGAAACTAGGACCTTTTAAATGTATATCGCATGTGCTGACTCACAGAATTGTAGCTCCTACTTTTTTCTAAAATGCACATTGATGATATTGAAGGATCTATGGCCTAAATATCTTACTATCTCTAAAGAGAATTTTCTGCCCCAAACTTGTTCTTCAGATTGTGGGTGAGTCCAGGTGGGACCTGTAAGTCCTGCACCTACACCTATACCTACAAGTGCAGGACCTAAAACTCCTCATGGAGAAATCTCATTCCCCTTCCTCACAATCTTGACAGTTTTTCTCTTTCCTTCTCCCAGGCAGCCCTTGCAGCCTCCT